TGTTTTTGGATAAAAAACTTTATTGCCAAAGACACAGAACTCGGCAAACTGAATCACCATACAATCGTCGATTGGTGTTCATTTTGCCGGGAAGTAAGTGAATTTTTTTCTACTTTATAATCCATCAGTTTGTAGGAGGTTTAAACGAAGATGGAGCAGCAAAAATTGTGGAAATTGACGAATCGAAATTATTTATTTATTTTTATAAATTTCATTCCTCAAACCACAGAAATGTCCAGCAAATAGGTTTAGTAACGTATTTTAGTTTAATTAGTTTTTTCTATAAAAAAGTTGAGACGATCATTGTAGGTTTAAAATAAAACTGTTCAAGGACGTTTCTGTAAGGCCCTGCTATTTTGTAATGCTGCCATATTGGTACTGTCCTAAGCCAAGCTTAGTGATACTCTTTTTCGTTCTCAATCATAGTAAATGTCGATAGTGTTCCCCTGCAAGAAGCAATGTTAAAAGAACCGAAATTAAAGTAAACAAAGCTAATAACATGTATAGAACTGCAGAAGTTAGCGGATACCAAGCCTAGACTTTGAAAACTGAAGTTGTAGTAAATTCTATGAAGACAAACACAGGAACTTGCAAGTATTGTGGGTTTCCTCAGGGTTCGGGGTTTCTTTTAGGATGTAGTTTTAAATACAACTGACACGAATAAGCATTGTTGAAACAGGGGATATTTTAACGCCTAAAAAAATTAAAGAAGGAAAATTTATATTAATTAATTTTTCTTTTCCCACAGCTGAATATACACCAACAAGGGCCTGGTAAAATGGTGCTTGATATTGTGGAGAACACATGTCCCTCCTGAAGGAGCAAAAATATGCATATGTTTACATGTGACCCTGCAAATCCTACACTATCCGAAAAGATTCCTTTTTTACTAGAAGTCGTTTAAAACTTCAGCAAATTTTAAGGGTTATTTTTGAATGATGTTGCGATTTACCACAAAACTTTATTACCAAAGAAGCAAAACTCGGCAAAGTGAATCACCATACAATCGTCGATTGGTGTTCATTTTTCCGGGAAGTAAGTGAATTTTTTCTAATTTATAATCCATCAGTTTGTAGGAGGTCTAAACGAATAACGAAGTTTTTTCGAAAATTGTTCGTTCTTTAACGAAATTTATTTATTTATATATTTTTATAAATTTTATTCCTCAAACCAGGGAAATGTCCAGCAAATAGGTTTAGTAACGTATTTTTTTTATAAAAAAGTTGAGAGGATCATTATAGGTTTAAAATAAAACTGTTCAAGTATGTTTCTGTAAGATCCTGCTTTTTTGTAATGCTGCCATATTGGTAATCTCGTAAGCCACGCCTAGTGATGCTCTTTTTCGTTCCCAATCTTAGTAAATATCGATAGCGTTCCCCTGCAAGGAGCAATGTTAAAAGAGCCGAAATTAGCCACTAGACAAAGCTATTAACATGTGTAGAACAGCAGAGAGTTAGTTGATACCAACCCTAGACTATAAAGACTTATAGTAAATTCTATGAAGACAAACACACAAATTTGCAACTATTGTGGGTTTCCTCAGGTCTCAGGGTTTCTTTTAGAATAGAGCTTCAAAGACAACTGACACGAATAAGCATTGCTGAAATTGGATTTGTGGATATTTTAGCACCTCAAAAAATTAAAGAAGAAAAATTTATATTAATTAATTTTCACTTTCCTACAGCTGAATATACCATCAAGTGGCTGGCAAAATGGTGCTTGATCAGATATTCATTCAAGTGTGAATATTGTGGAGAACACATATCCCTCCTGAAGGAGCAAAAAAATACAGATGATTACATGTGACGCTGCAAATCCTACATTATCCGAAAAGATTTATTTTTTGCTAGAAGCCGTTTAAGCTGCAAATCCTACACTATCCGAAAAGATTAATTTTTTGCTAGAAGCCGTTTAAAACTTCAGCAAATTTTAAGGATTATTTTTGGCTGATGTTGCGATTTACCACAAACCTTTATTGTCAAAGAAGCAGAACTCGGTAAAGTGAATCACAATACAATGGTCGATTGGTGTTCATTTTACCAGGAAGTAAATTAATTTTTCCTAATTTATAATCAATCAGTTGGTAGGAGGTCTAAACGAAGATGGACCATCAGAAACTGTGGAAATTGACGAATCGAAGTTTTTTATTTATTTGTATAAATTTTATTTCTCAAATCCGGGAAATGTCCAGCAGATAAGTTTAGTAAGGGATTTTAATTCCATTCGTTGTAAAAGTTGAGAGGATCATTATATGTTTAAAACAAAGCTGTTCAAGGATGTTTCTGTAAGGCCCTGCTTTTTTATAATGGCGGCGCCATATTGGTACTGTCCTAAGCCACGCTTTGTGATACTGTTTTTCGTTCCCAATCATATTAAATGTTGATAACGGTTCCCTGCAAGAAGCAATGTTAAAAGAGCCGAAATTAACCACTAGACTAAGCTACTAACAGCAGAAGTTAACTGATACCAAACCTAGATTTTGAAAAATGAAAATAGAGTAAATTATATGAAGACAAACACAGAAACTTGTAACTATTGGGGGTTTTCTCAGGACTCGAGGTTTCTTTTACAATGAATGCTTCAAAGACAACTGACACCAATATGCATTGTTGAATCTAACCTAACCATCAAGCATCATAATTTTTCTTTTCCCACACCTGAATATACAATCAAGTGGCTGACAAAATGGTGCTTTATCAGATATTCATTCGTGTGTGAATATTGTGGAGAACACATGTCTTTCCTGAATGAGCAAAAATATGCAGATGGTTACATGTGACGCTGCAAATCCTACGCTATACGAGTAGATTCTGTTTTTGCAGAAACTTGCAACTATTATGGGTTTCCTCAGGAGTTGGGATTTCTTTTAAAATGGACGTCTTCAAAGACAACTGACACCAATATGCATTGTTGAAGTTAGGGATATTTAAACGCCTCAAAAAATTATAGAAGGAAAATTTATATTAATTAATTTCTCTTTTCTCACTCCTGAAGTGGCTGGCAAGATGGTGCTTGATCAGATATTCGTTCATGTATGAATATTGTGGAGAACACATGTCCCTCCTGAAGGAGCAAAAATATGCAGATGCCGAAAAGATGCCTTTTTAGCTAGAAGCCAATTTTAAGGATTATTTTTGGATGATGTTGCGATTTACTAGAAAACTTTATTGCAAAAGAAGTAGAACTTGGCAAAGTGAACCACTTTAAATACAATTGTCGATTGGTGTTAATTTTTCAAGGTGGTGAGCCGGTCCCGCTTTTAAGTAATGCCGACGCACAATCGTTTATTTTAAAATTAACAACTGGCCATATAGTGGTATCTTGTTCATCTTAAAAAACAAACAAAAACTTTTTTTGGACGAAAAAATTACTCATAAAATAATTGGCGAAATTCGCAATCGAAAGAAAAGGTAAGCATTTAATAGAAATTATTTAATGTTATTTTGTTTAAATTTTGTCGTGATTCGAAATTGTTTTTATGGTAGGTGAAATTTTTATTTTAATCTAACATTGATTTAGGTTCTTCAGGTAAGTTTTAACCTGTTTTGGTCTTTTATCAGATTATTATTTTAAATATTTTATATAGTACTACAATTTGACCTTTTTATTTAGTTTAAAGGGATGCAAAAAAAGATGCCCTTTCGATCTGATCAACGTTAATTTTATTTTAAAGCCTGAACATTCTTTTTCAAAAACAATGTAGCTCCAATGTGCGACGAGGTAACATTATTTTTTTTTATTTTAGGTAACACTTCCGAAATCACTAGAATGCACTTATTTCAATTTGGGTCAGCTCCCTATTTCAGAGGGACCCACAGCGGGGGTTAGCGGAGGTGTAGATCCGCCACTGGATAACACTGGACTACTAAGCAACAATGTACATGTTGAAGTTATGGATATTTTAACGCCTCAACAAATTAGAGAAGAAAAATTCATGTTAATTTTGCTTTTCCCACACCTGAATATACCATCAAGTGGCTGGCAAAATGGTGCTTGATCAGAAATTCATTCATGCGTGAATATTGTGGAGAACACATATCCCTCCTGACGGAGCAAAAATATGCATGATGGTTACATGCAAAATAGTTACACATGACGTTGCAAATCTTGCCAGAATTCCTGCACTATGTGAGTAGATTCCGTTTTTGCTAGAAGCCGTTTAAAACTTCAGCAAATTTTAAGGATAGGGATTATTTTTGGATGATGTTGCGATTTACCTGTAAAAAAAATACCGTCAAAGAAGCAGAACTCGGCAAAATTAACGACCATACAATCGTCGATTAGTGTCCATTTAGCCGGAAAGTAAATTATTTTAATCCATCAGGTTTGTAGGAGGTCTAAACGGAAAGTTGGAAAACCTTGTACCAAATGTCAAAAACAGAATCATTTTTCCAAAGTTTGCAAGTCAAAAGAAAGCAAGAAAAAATCAAAAAACTGACAAGAACAAGTCGAAGAAGAATAGTGTACAACAACGTAGATCAAGTTTGTGGGAATGATGGTAGGTGATTCAAACTTTTATTCATACGCAGATCCTTTTTTAATTTAGGCATATCATCTCTTATTCGAAATTCTTGTTTTCTTTCTCACCTCCAAAGCCATTTCCACAGAGGTTTCGTTTATTTGGATATAACAGTTTAGACAGCAGAAACTCTATCAGTTTATGCAGCTTCTTTTCAAGCTCCACCCCTATAATGTCAAAGTAACCGAGAAGAAAAATGATACGTAATGGAAATGGAGGCAAATGCTACGGAAGTCTAACAGTCCAAATGCCAAGGACTCAGCAGAAAAGTAACAATTCTGGTAAAAAGTATTTTATTCAACATCTGTGCGTTATTCGAGAAAGTAGCTCAGGAACTAAAAGACAATAATGACTTAATAAAGTTTTATACTACTCTAGCTTTCTTTTATTCTGCATGTTTACTTCAACTAAGGTGAACATTTTCAAATGGTGATATAATTGAAAATGATCATGCTAACGTCCCTTAAATATAAATGTTTACCTGACTGTAGTGCGATATCTTGGTGACTCTTTATAACTTTAGCGGCACTTCTTGCATCATTAATGAAATATGGAGCAATACATCCGCTTGATTGGGAATAGAAAGCCGGAAAGTCTCTATTTGTTCCAAGTGTGGCAACAAATATGCCTTGTGTTTCCTAGAACAATTAAAACATTACATATTAATTTCTCTTAATCTTTTCAACCAGCCGTTTCAGATAATTCAGCTAGGAAAATAATTATACATAACTGAAAAACAGTCTCGGGATATTTGTTTGTTTTACCCAACCAGACCCCTAAACAATATTTTATCAACAATATGTCAGCATCTATTATTTGGTCGCTAATGTATATCGCTCAGGTTAATCCTCTGGACTATTTTCAATGACATTTCTTAAGATACTATGACCAAAACTTTCTGAGAAACAGGTAAGATGTCTGAGGTGTCGGACGCCAACTCTCTTTATCATGTAAGCTGGGGCCGCCCAACTTACACTAGTGATAATAGAGAAGTACGTCTAGTATCCGAACCTTTGTCCTATAATTGGTTACTCAAAGTGTGGGCCAAGCGTGGAACCTTGCCGCACAAGTATCTATTCTCCGCCTCCCCGTGGTACCGCTGGAAAAGTGGCGTGGAACTTGTTCTACGAATCAAAGGAGTAATAGGGTATATAGACCCCAAGGGTTGCTAGCTCTTGACGGTGTTAGGAGTTGATCCTACATAGAAAACCATTCCTTGGGTGAACCCCGGTGGATCCACTGATCCGCTGGACCAACACCCCACCGCACCGCCCGGCCCCGCGCAGATGTTTTTGTGTGCCTGGTCTGTGAAAGGGTGTTCTCCACTCTTACTGGTAGAGGTGATCATGCTCGACGAGCACATCCTGCCGAATTCGACTAAGAACGAGCCGGGCGACTCGAGGTGAAAGCTAGATGGACACAAGAGAAAGTGATGATTGCAAAAACGAAGGCCGAACTTCATGAACCAACAGAAAAATTAAATAAATAGAGTCATACTTCTGAAATAATTATCGATATTGATCAAAATGCACTAGTTCAATTATATGACACTCGCTATTTTTTTAAAAGTTTGAGAAGTAATGTTTTGATCAAACTTTTTATTAAAAGTTGTGCATTGTTTGAGAAACAATCATGTCCTCAATTGCCATTGCGTCAATTTATATCGTATATACCCTAGATGATGTCAATGATACCAGAAAACGAAAAAGAATACAAATTTGGATGCAAGAACTAAAGGAACTAAAATATTGCACAACGAAGCGCAACACACACATACACTACAAAACGCGCTGCGCAAACGCCTGTTATATGATATAAACCTTTATATATTGTATATATACAGTTGGAACTTTAATGGGCACAGCTATTCACCAATATTTTACTGCTAGCATATAGACCGCGCATGGTAGCAACATTTATCAAACATCAACCACAGAAATAAAATATCTGAAGTATACAAAGTCATTAAATTTCTACAACAAAGCATAAAAGCAGAAGAGTTTACTATCTTTATTATCTTATTGTTAGGGCGGGTTTGATAGCGCCGAATTTATAAAAGATATGATTAATCTTTTCGACGCTTTTGATAGTAGGATGGCATTTTAGCAAAAATAAATATAACACGGCTATTGCAAAATAAAATCAATTGGTACTTTAATAAAAGCATAAAAAACTGTTCAAGTGTGGAAAAATTTATGCACATTTTCCGATTGAATTTGGAAAACATTCCAAATACAATCGAATGAAACTGGCAAAAAATGTCACAGTAGACCACCATGCATTGATGGGATTATTTTGTCAAAAACAAGTATTTTAAGTTTATTTGAGATGAAAATTACGATTTTTAATGACAAATCGTTTAAATCAATATGCTTTGAAAAACTTTTTCTGTTGTTCGCAAAAAAGGTGGTTGATATTTAACTATTATAGAGGTAACTAATTTAAACAAAAAATAATGTTAACATACACAGAATGTATGTTATTTTATGTTATTATAGTTGGTGCAAGATGAGTAAAGAACGTCAGCTTTCCGGTAACAAAGCCGTCAAAGGACAGAAAACCGGGAAATAGAAGAGCATTGGCGTGCTGAGGGGGAGCCAAAAAATTTCTAATTACCCCACTGCTACAGAGACCGTCTACCATGACCATCGGAATAATACAATAAGAATCAATAGAGAAATCTATTAGGTAATTAATTTTAAAAAATACTGTTAATAACATAGAATGTATATTATTTTATGTTATTATAGGTGGCGCAAGAGGAGTAAAGAGCGTCACCTATCCAGTACCAAAGCCATCAAGCCCAAACGACAGAAAACCGAGAAATAGAAGAGCAATGGCGTGGGGAGGGAGAGCCCAAGGAGAAGATCCGAGCGAAACTAACTCCTCTATGCAAATATCAAATACTGACGAAACTATGGGAAATACTCTCACTTTAGAAGACTATGCTCTGTATATTTTGCTAGTTATCTGACTAAAATCCTATTAAATAAGTTTTATTGTTCTCGATGTGCTTTCGCTTAAAAATCTGGAGATAAGGTTTTAAATGATCCAAATCAAATTATTTATTTTAAATAAAAATTATAATGCCAATGAAGTCTTTTGTGCGCTCCTCGAGATGATACGGTAAAAATAACCAAAAAATCTATAGTTATATTAAGAAAATGGTTCGATATATACAAACACGAAGAAAATATTGGGAAAAAATATAAGCAACAATTAGAGCACTAATTATAATAGAGTTAAACAATTATAAGAGCTGTACTGATCATGGAGAGTTTTTTTTATAAAGAAATTAGTTTAGATTTGCTTGAAATACAATCAAATAAAATTGGTAAAAATGTAAATGGCCATGCTTTGATGAGATTATTTTGTCAATAACAAGTAGTTTAAGTTTATTTGAAGAAAAAAATTATGAGATTTTAATGATAAATCGTTTAACTCAAGATGCTTTGAAAAAAATTTTCTCTGTTATTGGCAAAAAAGGCGGTTGATGGTAGTTCCTCAGCTAAAATATTTCTAATGTGATTCAGAATTGAGACCATCACAAATAATTTGATACCAGTAAATAAATCTAATAGTGAAGAAGACTTAGATTCCTCTATATTGTAAAATTTAATAAATAATAGTCCACAGATCAATTTCCCTATGTCATCTAATATTGTGATAGGAGAAGATCCGTGCAAAACTAATTATTCCTCTATGCAAATATCAAATACTGACGAAACTATGGTAAATACCGTCACTTTAGGAGACTGTGCTAACTAAAATCCTATTAAATAAGTTTCATTGTTCTCAATGCGCTTTCGCTTTAAAATCTGGAGATAAGGTTTTAAATGATCCAAATTAATTATTTCTTTTAAATAAAAATTATAATGCCAGTGAAGTCTGTTTGGGCGCTCCCAGAATACGATAAATACGATACCTGATGATACGATAAAAACAACCAAAAAATCTATGGATATATTTAGAAAATGTTTCGATGTATACAAGCACGAAGAAAATATTGGGGAAAAATACTAGCAGCAATTTGAGCAAAATTATATGGTTAAACAATGACAAGAGCTATTGATTATAGAGAGTTTTTTTTATAAACAAATTATTTAAGATTCGCTTGTACAAGTCCTGCAAATGGATCGTACGCAATCAAAAGTCAAGGCGGCAAAGAAACAAAAATCTAAAAAATGTTCAACATATTTGTTGATAAATGAAACATTTTAAGAGAAAATTTGTCTGCTAAAATATTAAATACATTCTCCATGTAACATGTAATAAGACAGAAAGACAGAGTGTAAGATTGGCTGCTCAATTATTTTCATATACGACAGCTAGAGCACTCAATTATTATCAGCCAGAAGGAGATAAAGAATTATCAGAGAATGTTGGACATTTTGTACAGCTTATAAATAACTGGTTCGATATAATGAATTCTTATGTACCCAATGCTAGTGTACCACCAAAAAGCCTATTTAGAAAATCAAAATAAAATTTTAAAGGATGTAGAACCCACTATTATTGGTATGCTATGCAGTGGCAAAAAGGTTATGCAGGTTTTTCAAAAGGGTATGCTGATGTCTAGCAAGTCTTTGCAGCTGCTATATTTGCATTTAAATAAAAAAGTAAATGCTAAACATATTTTAACACATCGTCTTAATCAAGACTGTCTGGATTTTTTTTTTCACAGGTAATTATTACTTCAGAAAATATTTACTTTTTTTAAACTTCTCATAAATTTCAAATAAGAACACGTGGTGGCCTCCATGACCGTCCCTCTCCTTTAAATGCTTTATATTTTTATATAGAATTAGAATGATACTGCTTGGCACAATCCAGGGTTAGTAGTTTCAAACACCAACGTCCAAACAAGTATCTTAAAGGAGAACAACACCGAGTATTTGTGAACTCTGACATTAAAAAAAGCTGCTGATATAACAAATAAAATACAAGAAAGGGCTGGTAGTAACTTATCAGGAAGTGAGGGTGATGGCGGCACTTCTTCAAGTAGGTACCCATTTTATTAGATCATCTGAAACGATTGTGGCCGACCGATGGTTATATATATAAACATATACTTTTCTTTCTAAGTATATGCATTCAACAAGGGAAAAATAAAATAATTATGTCTTATAAATAAATAAATGTAAAGATGTTAGAAAAGGTAATTGTACGGTGTAGGTTGTGAGTGCTGTTTTAATGTACGTTGTAATTTTTTGCACATTTTTCTTTGCATATTCCTGTAAAATTATCAAATTCATTTATCTAACAATTTACAAAAACATATTAATTTGCATCATATGTATAAAAATTTTTGTTTTATTTTGCTGAATATGTTATGAGAGTGGGTAGTGGGTATTGTTTTTTGTGTTAACAGGTTTAAGATGTATATTTAAATTATAAAAATATATTCTTAATCAAATTATATTTATATAGGTGTACCAGTAACACTTGACTCTTTACTGCAATCGTTGAAAACCAAAGAAAAATATTATGGCAGCAAATCAAGTTTGCACAAAATATTAAAGAATGCTGGTTTTCAATATAAACAGGAGGACAACAGAAGGGCCTTAATGAAAAAAAAACACATTTCTTTTTTGAGAGGACAGTTTCTTAAGAGGTAGTGGTCAATTTTATTTCCAAT